TATAGTTTGCAAGATAAAAGTCCATTTTTTTTAAAGTCAAGCTGTTGACAGGGCTTTTGATGTGTGCAAAATATTAAGATATTAACGAGCAAAGCATATTTTGACTTCGTGCATTCTGCAAAGCTTTGCCATTCCGACATGCTTGGTGAAGTGGACGGCTTAGTAAAAGTAATTGGCAAGTTGACTTCAATGGGACTCCAGGCTAATCCTGTAATGAAGCTCTGGCAGCCGGTAATCCTCCCCAGTTAAGAACTCAACTTAAATTAAATAGATTCATCCATTTCTTTTTTATTCCAGGGATGAGTCAGACAGGGGAGGCTCGGCTGAATAAGCAAAATGCTCCGGGTAAAATTACATCGGAGGTTTCCTTAGGCACATCCAGCACGTCAACCCCAACTCTAGAGTCGGCCCTGGGGCTGCAGGACTCCAAGGAAATACAGGTAGACTGCTCCATCATTGGAGGCTTTTAAGAAGAGACTGGACAGCCAGCTGGTTTAGGGCCTAGCTGTTACTCGGACAAAGCAACCTTCCTCACATCAAGAAATTCAGTGGGAGAAATGCAGAATCCGTCTCTCTATCATTTGTCCACGCCATTTTGCAGGAACCACTACCGTTGTCCAGGGTGGGGTTCCCGGGAGCCCCCCACCCAGTGCCCACCTTGTTCCCCTTTCTGGGGCTGCTGATGGGTGAGATGCATCCATCCTAGAGCAGCGTTTCGCAATCGCGGCAACTTTAAGATGGGTGGACTTCAACTCCCAGAATTTCTTAGCTTGCAATGCTTGCTGGGAAATTATGGGAGTTCACAGATATTAATGTTGTTGAAACACTACAGCTAATCCTCGACTTATGACCGGAATGCAATCCAAAAAAATTATGTTGCTAAGTGAAACATTTGATAAGTAATTTTTCCCCATTTTACGACTCGGTTGTTAAGCGAATCACTGCAGTTGTTAAGTTAGTGACATAGTTGTTAAGTGAATCCGGCTTCCCCATGGACTTGGCTTGTCAGAGGGTCGAGGTCATCCTCGACTTAACGACCACAATAGAGCACAACATTTCCGTTGCTAACGTACAGTCATTAAGTGAGTTTTGCCCCATTTTACGATCTTTCTTAATTATTAAGTGAATCGCTGCCGTTATTCATTTAATAATCTGGTTGTTAAGTGGATCTGAAGTTTGCTTGTCGTTTGGTCGCAAAAGGGGATTGCGTGACCCCGGGGATGCTGTAACTGTCATAAATACGAATCAGTGGCCAAGCATCTGAATTTCGATCATGTGACCACAGGGTTGCTGCAATGGTCATAAGTTTGAACAACGCTACTTTCTTCAGTGCCATTGTAACTTCAAACGGTCACTAAATGAACTGTTATAAGTCGAGGACTTACACTCTAGACAATTTCTTTCTCAAGATCACGCAAGTGAGCAGACTAGATGTCCTCCTGGCCTCTTGGTGCCCAAATCCTGAATTTCAGAGACTTAAACTATCTTTTCCATGGTACGTATCACCCCTAAACTTCCGGTCAGATGGAGCGTTTGAACGAGGACTTTCTAGAAAAGCTTCCACAAATTGTTTTTTAGATCGTCCCGTATTACCGCCAAAAAGAATCCAAACGGAAAAGGGAAAAAAATATCCCGTCATTTTTAATTATTATTCATCAAAGCCCAAAAGACATTTCACTGACCACAAAGTCTCACACACACAAGTATAAAAAGATTTTTTTTTTTTTTTACAAAAAAGTGAAGAGGAAGAAACAAACATCTCTCGTCTCTTTTTAACGTCGAAACACAGTTTTGTAACGTTTACACAACAATATTCACTCGGAGATGGTCCAGGGTCTTGTTTTTTTTAAAAAAA